TTCCCCCAAAACTTTTTCCCCCCCCGGCAAGTGGGAGGAGCTTTAAAATTAAAAATTTTTTCCCAGCTTTTTTTATTTTTTTTTAGCAAGGGCAGTTTTGGAAGGGCTCGCATTTCAGGGGTACGATGGTTTCTATAGGCTAGGCCTAGTCTGCGAGCAGTACGTTTCAATGTTCGAAGTTTAGAATCATTGTAAACCGAGGACTGTCTAACTTATTTCCAATTGGGGTCCTCAATCTTGTCCCCCAGGATGCGACCCACACCAGTCGACTAACACCCAGGTACATCTTTACTGCTAGGTGAACATGACAACAGGTGCCAGGCAACACGCCGAAATGTTTCCACCCTGCCGGGAATCGAACCCGGGCACTCCGTGTGTGTGAAGCGAGAGCTTTAGCCACCAGGCCACAGGGGTACCTTGTACATGGACTTGTAGTAAATAAAGATATTATTATATTACTATGTATATAATTTTAATTTTAAGCCTGCCCATAGTGCTCTGCATACAAGGGGCTTTTGACATATGCACTCAACTAATATAATACCTTGTACAACTATGTATCATGTCTTAATAAACTATTATTATTATTATTATTATTATTATTATTATTATTATTATTATTATTATTATTATTATTATTATTATTATTATTGATGTGACATTGTTTATTCTATATTTTCTGTATAAAACTACACACTCATTGGCTTAAACTTTGTTCATACACGAGTTTAGCCAATAGACGAAGAGTGTCATTCTCTTAATTTTTTTCATTTATTATAGGAATGGAAAAAATATGAATAATTATTCCTAAGCAGCTTTCCGTTGAATTTTTAATTACATTAATTTTATTTATATAGCTAAAATAATTTGAACTATATGCTATTTGTGGAAAAATAGATTTAAATTATATTAATTTGTTTCAAGGTTTCTCATTCCTACATGACATTCCCGCCATTATCACAAATATTTGTGGATTTACAATTAATAAGAATATAATTGTGGCAGCAAGGAGAGCAGACAGCTGGTGGACTCATGTAAACTACAGGTGTAATAAACGAGAGGAATTATAAACCTCTCTGCAAGTGCTAAGAAATACGTATTCTTGTCCTTGTGACGGAAGTAACATGGGTAAGAAGAGCTGCAAGCCATTGGTAAGTAATTTGTTCAATTAAGATAAAAATAAGATTTGTTCAGAGTTTTAACCTGGAGGATTGGCCATTCGGGTTAACCCAATAAATTTAGTCAGTGGAACACCCATCAAGGTGACGTACCCTCGATGGTGAAGGGCTCTTGATCAAATGAATTGGAGCTACCCGTCTCAGATGAAAGTAAGTTTATTTAAGCACAGGTACACATAAGTACAATTATCATACATGGTGTAAATTACCTAGGATAACCCAAAAAAGTCAAAATTACTTATTTCCATTGGGGTCCTTGACTGCCTTTCTTTCTTCAGGCACTGAATGGCCCATACGGTTTAAGTGCTTCCCAGTAAATAATGTAATAAACAAGTACTTTCCGATTACCCTTTATTAACAAGTGTAGTGTAATAAACAAGCACAAGTGAAATTATATAACTGGCATATATTAAGATAAGATTTCGTTTGGATTTTTAACGGCGGAGGGTTAGCCACCCAGGATAACCCAAGAAAGTCAGTGCATCATCGAGGACTGTCTAACTAATTTCCATTGTGGTCCTCAATCTTGTCCCCCAGGATGCAACCCACACTAGTCGACTAGCACCCAGGTACATATTTATTTATTTATTTAATGTCTCTGCAAACAGTACATTGAGATTGTGTTTATACAATAGTGGGTTGCAATGCAAAGAGGGCCTCTATTATGCCTAGGCATTATGGGCCAACTTAACATTATTGGCTTACATTCTACTTAATACTAAGGAGTAGTATATCATAGTTGTACAGTAGGAAAGTAATTATTTCATAGTTGTACAGTAGAATATTAATTATAAATGAATCAAAATTTGTATAATACAAAGATATACGTATTTATATTCTAAAATGCTTTTGTGAAAAACAATGATTCAATTATATTCCTGTCAACAATGGATAAAAGGTTCAATGGGGTTGTTTCAGTTATGATGTGGGAGTACAAAAGGTGAGTAAATGTGTACTTAGTATTTAGCTTTTAGTCTAGGGTGTTTAAGGGTTTTTTGAGAAGAGCCCTTAAATTGATTTTCAGACTGGGTTACTTTAATATCTCCTGGTAATGAATTCCATATTTTGGGGCCCTTTATGTGCATAGAGTTTTTACAGTGTGATATGGACATGAGGTATATCAAAAAGAGATCTGTGTCTTGTTGTGGTCATGTGTCCTGTTTAGGTTGGTGAGGAAAAATTTGAGTGGGGGGGTTTATATTTTTGTGTATTGTTCGTGTATGTAGTAGGCACATGAATTTAAATATGGATGTTCTTAATGGTGAGCAGATTCAACTTTTTGAAAATTGGTGGATATGCTGGCAGAGTGGGAATTTATCATTCTTACTGCTGCCTTTTGCTGGGTTATTAGGGGTTTTAGGTGATTGGATGTTGTTGATCCCCATGCACAAATTCCATATGTAAGATAAGGGTATATGAGTGAATGGTACAGTGCCAGGAGAGCTGATTGTGGAACGTAGTACCTTATCTTTGATAGTATGCCTACAGTCTTGGAGATTTTCTTGGTGATTTGTTGTATGTGTGTCTGGAACTTAAGGCTACTGTCAAGGTGGATACCTAGGAATTTTCCCTCTGAGTCTTGTGACTGATGAACCATTTAGCATAATGTTAATTGGATCATTTGCAGCTAGGATCATTTACTGCTAGGTGAACAAGGCAGGTGTAAGGAAACATGTCGGAATGTTTCCACCCGCCGGGAATCAAACCTGGGCCCTCCGTGTGTGAAGCAGGAGCTTTAGCCACCAGACCACCGGGCCTGGTAAGTACAATGTAGTGTAACTGTACTGAGCCTTTGTTCAGGGACCCCAGTGAGAATAAGTCACATTGTTTGAATATTGTAGTTTCCTAAGTTAATTATACATAATATACTACTTTTATGTACTCAAAGCATTGTGAACCCTCAAGACAATTGTAAAAAAAAGTATTTTATGAATGCAAAAACATTAAAAAGTTAAATGACACACAAATAAAAGGACCTGGTTCAGTGTTGGGGGGGGGGGAGGGCAAGACTATGGGCATATTTCCTGACACTGCCACTGTTCATCTTGCAGTAGTACATACTTTGGCCAATATGTACTTTATTCCCAAGCCAGAACCCCATTAACATTACTCAGTATACTGACCAACAATGATATCTGTAACCCAGGAAACTCGGTTATCTGTTGTGCAAATTGTTATTTATTGAAATCTTAGCCACAATTTGTAAGTAAATCACTTTGACATTTATTGGGGGTTATCCTAGGTAATTTACACATATATTACTATGTATGGTACTTGTACGTATCTGAAAAAACTTATAGACCGTTGTACATATAAGTATGAGTCATGCAGGGAGTTACGGAGTACCTGGAGGAGCGGGGTACGCCCCCCGCCCGGTCTGAGCCAGCCTCCGGGATCAGAGCCTGATCAACCAGGCTGTGCTGTGGCTGCACGCAACAACAACGGCCACAGCCGGCTGATCCGGACTGACTTTAGTTTGTCCAGTGCCACTTGAAGACTGCCAGGGTCTGTTGGTAATCCCCCTTATGTTGCTGGGGGCAGTTGAACATCTCGGGCCCCGACACTTATTGTAGGTCCTTAACGTGCAGTGACACCCCGCTTTTCATTGGGGGGATGTGCATCGTTGCAAGTCTTTTGCTTTCGTATGGGTGATTTTCGTGTGCAAGTTGGTACTATTCCCTCTAGAACTAGTTGTGCAGATTGTTATTTATTGAGATATTAGTCTTTATATAACATTTAGGAATGCAGTCACAGACCCAGCATTGGGTCACTGCACCTTCACCACCACAGCACTACACTATTTCACTGCTTCCTCGATGCCATACCCCTTAACCTAACATTGGCATGTGCCAAAGTGTCTGCATTGGTGGGTATCAGCTAATTTTACTGGTACAGGTGGGTATCTGCTAATTTTGATGAAATTGTTATCAGTATTTGCCTAAAATTGAGTGTTGGTGCAGCAAAAATATTTGGCAACTTTCCATCCTAACCCTGATGCTAGGTTTGGGTTGGATGGGCTAGGTTAGGTTGGGTTGCATTAGGTTTGATTGAGTTGCATTAGATTTTATGCATTTGCTTAAATAAAACTGTCTCGAATTCACAACCAATTTAATTTTGGACAATTTTGCTCAAAAAATAATCTTGGAGTGGGACCTGGAAATAAATTGCAGGTGTACATTCACAGATATTTGAGTGTTAGTTGGCTGTTGTGGGTAACATTCTGGAGGAGGACCAAAGAATTCCATTGGAAATTAGCTCTACTACCTGACTTTGTTTTATTAGCAAGTCTTACACTGAGTTAATGACTCAAAAAAAAAAAAAAGGGAAGCACATTCACAGTTATTCATTCCATCACTGTCTTGTCAGAAGCTTGCAGACATCAGTTTAGATGGCCTGCTGATCTATCTAATCCTAACCCCTGCTTCATAGTGCAGGCACTGCATTTCCCACCTCCAGGACTTGGGTCCATCTGAAGAGTTTCCCTGAATCACTTCGTTAATGTTACCTTGCTCATACTCCAACAGCACTTCAGATTACAAAACCACTCACTCTGATGTAATTCACTCACACAGGCCTGTTGGATGTTCAAACCCTTAGTAATCAAAGCCTCATTTTTCCCTCCTCCCTCCAATCCTTCATGGGACAAACCCTACACCACCTTCCTTCTACCCCCTCTCCTAGATTATCCCTTTGAGGCTAATAGTAATAATAACTTTATTTACTACAAGTACATGTACAAGGTATACAGTCCTAACTGACATCAATGACATACTACTATACAGAAAGCCGCTTGTTATGCTGAGCATTTCGGGCAGATTAGGTCAGTTTTTGTCCCAGGATGCGACCCACACCAGTCGACTAACACCCAGGTACCCATTTTATACTGATGGGTGAGCAGGGACAGCAGGTGTCTTGCGGAAACATGCCCCTAATGTTTTCCAGCTGTACTGGAGGAGATTCGAACCCCGGACCTCGATGTGTGAGTTGAGTGTGCTAGCAATCGAGCTAAGGGACACGGTTAGTGCTTATCGTGGTTTAAAAAAAACACGTAAACAAACACTAAGACATATTTATTAGAAAACGTTTTGATTCTGAGACCTTGATCACTTCTAAAATACAGAGGTTAAAAGACAGTACGTGTATATGTATAGGCAGAGTGAAGTGTGAGTGACGCATGGTGACCTGAAGAATGCCATGGTGGGATGAGGACGGGTAAACGATAAGATCATGTGACTCCTGTGTTGCTGGGTGGGTGGTGCTTTGCCAGGTTGAATATTATGTATGCTAATGTTGTAGAAATTTTGTGGTTTCTAATGTTACATTCTGGTATGTCGGTGATGACGATTAGCGAGGATTGTAGACACCGTCGGCGTCTAAGGTCTTGTTTGGTGAGAACAAGTTGTGCCTCACCGCAGTTCATCAAATGCCCTGTGATGCCTCTGTGGAGGACACAGGCGTACCTTAAGTCATCTAGTTATCTCTGTTACTGGCATTTCGATGCTCGTTCAGACAGACCGCAAGTTCTCTGCCTGTTTTGCCTACATATTTCTTGGGACAGAATCCACAGGGATGGTGTAGACGCCTGCTGTGGAAGATAGAGGTGTGCAGCTGTGTTTCATAGTGAGGTCTTTGATAGATGATGTGTTTATGGTAGAAACATCTATGTTACTCTTAGCAAGTGCGCAGTGAGTATTTGTGGCAACATCACCATATGGGAGCACTATGAACTGCTGAGAGGGCTTTTCTGTGGACGGTTTGTTGTGGATAGCTTGTGCCTTGTCTGCTGTCCTTAACCCATAAATGGTCCGTACCGCTAGTGCCCCAAACGTAAATAGTATATGTTTTATTTTCCTGCCTCCAAATTTGGCACGATTGGCCTGAGATGCCTGGTCAGCATAGATTGGGTCTTAACACTCGGTGTGCACCATATTAAAAAAATCTGGGACCACTTAGTAAAGTGTGGGAGCTCCAGT